AATCCTATGATATTTATGGTGTTGCCATAAGTTGCCAGGTGACTTGAAGGCACATATATGTACACATTACCTTTATCACCTTCTCCAGTGAACACTAACAAACTGCCTGCAGCTCAGTACTTCAGCTTTCCTTAGTTGGAAACATAGGAGTATGTGGGGCAAGAGAAGGAGGAAGTAGTAAGAAGATTAAGCAGAGGTTTCTGCCAGCATTTGTTAGACTTCATATCTGATGATTTAGATTTGAAGAGTGGTCTCACAATAAAGATTCATTTTTATTTTTATTTTGTTTTTTATTGTGTGTAAGTCTTGCATGCTGGCAAAAGGATATCTATAATCAGGGAGCCTTTCATGCTACACATTTATAGCACTGTGATTCCACTTTACCTGTCATGGTGCCATCCTGTGGAGCCCTAGGATTTGCAGTTTGTTGTTGTTGTGTACCTCCAAGTCTTTTTTTTTTTTTTTTTTTTACTTATGGCAACCCTAAGGTGACCCTGTCCTATGGTTTTCTTGGCAGGTTTCATTGGGGGTGGTGGTTTGCCATTGGCATCTTTTGAAGTTGAGAGAGTGTGACTTGCTCAAGGTGATCAAATGGATTTTTATGCTCAAGCGGGGATTTGAAACCTGGTCTCCAGAGTCATAGGGCCTTTGCAGACTGCCAGAAATAGTGCAAATTGAGTCCACTTTAAGGGTTAGGGTTAGTGCTAGGGAATCATGGGTTTTTTTTTCTGAAACATTGAGCCTTCTCTGTCAGAGAGCTCTGGTGCCACAATAAAATACAGTTCCCATGATTTCCTATCCCTAACCTTAAAGTGGACTCAATTTACACTATTTCTGGCAGTCTGCAAAGGCCCATAGTCCAATGCTCAAACTACTATACCATGCTGGCCCTCTTTGCAATTTAGAGAGGGATATGTTGAATTTGCAGCCAGAGAGCTCTTGTGCCCCATCCTATAGGATTCTATAGGATGCAGCCATGGAGGATCCACGGCTGCATCCTATAGAGCACAAGGCAGAAAGTTGGCCCATACCCACTGTGGTTGTCCATGCCTGGGATATACAAAGTTCTAACAAATTCTCATATAGACAGGTTTGCCATGATCTAAAGGCCCAGCTTCCGTGGAACTGATGTTGCTCCTTTGTTTGATATGTTTGCACTTTCCTCTATATAGCTCATTTTCTTCCAAAGTCTAATCACAGAATACGTGCTCTAACCGGTGCCCTATTCATATATCCACACAGACACACGTATATACATACTCCAACATAGACAGTCTCTATTAAGGTTGCTAAGAAAACCTTTGATAATTGTTCTTATTTGATTTTGCCACAGTTAGCTTACATTGTGTGCCATTTCTTGGCAGAAAAAAGTTTTTAAATGTAATAAAAATAAGAAAATATTTTTACATCATGACTTACAGTAATTAAGGAGCTGGAAAGGAGCAATGCAGGATGATCCTTGCCCCTGTTTTAAAAAATGGTTTCTTCTTTTTTTTATTGCAAGATTAGATTTAAGAGTAATCTCTGCTAATGAAAAGTGGGAAATATAATGACAATATCCCTTCTTTGTGTGCGAACAAACTGACAAAGGAAACCCAAGAACTTTTTAAAAATAAAGGGTTAAGTAGAACTATATTGTCTTTTCTTGCTGTGCTATTAGTCCTTGTCTGTTAATGAGCAGTTGAGGTTTCTATTCCTACGCAATCTTTTAAAACTTTGTTACCAAGGGTGTCTTAATGAGTAAAGTGTTTATCAGTACATGAAGTATCTGAAGAGCATGCAAGGAAGATTTTGCAGGGGTAATTAAAATGCTTTATCCCTCTCATGGCTGTCATAATAACTTATTAGATTTGGTTGAAAACTGGAACATATTGTTTGCGTAATGTACGCAGTGGCAGACCTAATGAGGCAATCCCGTGGACTGCAAAGCCCTGATTTAGCTGGTCTTGTATTGCATTTGCAAAACCAAACCAGCTAAGTTGTTTAGAATTATAGTTAATGGAGTTGTTGTAATGAAGGAGAAGGAGAAGCCATGTTGGCAAAATATCTTGGTAGCGATGGAAGGGAAGAATCATAGGAATGTAGAAAGCTGCATTATACTGAGTCAAACTATTGGTTCAGCTGGTTTAATATCTGTCCATCTAGTTTAGTATCATTTACATTGGCAGCATGCAGCCCTCCAAATGCTGTTGGACCATAACTCTATTAATTCATTTCCATTGAATGTGCTGGAGGTCTGATGGAGATTGAAATCAACATCTGGAGAGCCACATGTTGGCCACCACTGACTACCTCCAGGGTTTCTGATTTCCCACTCTTCATTTTCCTATGACCTAACTGTCTTTCAAGGACAGCCATGTTGTTCCAGTATCAACCCACTTTGTCCAGTGAACCATTTTAGCCTATGGGAGTTCTAGCCATAACTAGAAAGGGAGTAGAGGGGTTTCCTGACAACCGAAGCAGAATTTAGTTCACCAGCTGCGCCCTACTTGGCAGCTCCACAAATGTTCAACCTGCTAATGCTTTCTAATGAGCCAGCAAACTTTAAAAAAATATATCTGATTTTTATATCAGTGAGTAATGATTGAAGATTTGAATAACGGCTCTCTTCAGACAAACGAAAATCCCTTTCAGTTGTGTGTATTTTCCCCAAGATGGAGACATCACTGTTAAAATGTTTGCTGGCTGTATGCTGACATTCTACAAATATATTCTAGTAGCAGCAGCAGTGGTAATAGTGATAGAGGTCTTCAAGTCACCTGTTGTCCTCTGGTGTAACGATGAATTTCAGATTGGTTTTTTTAGACAATAAATATTCAAGAAGTTTACCATTGTTTTCTCTGAATATGGCCTTTTAGCACCTAGTATTCTCATTGTGAGAGAAAGGCAGGGTATAAATACCCCGTATTTTCCGGCGTATAAGACGACTGGGCATGTAAGACGACCCCCAACCTTTCCACTCAAAATATAGAGTTTGGGATATACTCGCCGTATAAGACGA